GGTGCTTGCCATGTCACTGATGCTCAATCAATACTGTAGGATTATGAGTTCACGTTACTCTCATAAAGAACTAGGTGATAGCTGAACCGGGCAAAATTCAAACTCAGCCTACCTTCCATGCAAACCGTGACTGCGAATGACCTTCTCTCTCCATCTGGGGCATTACCAACTAGGATCTCAGAACGTAAACGTTCACAGCATCAAACAACAATTTGGTTAAATATGACGTACAAGGGATTTTCCCCACAGAGACACTCAAGCCAAGACCAAAAAAAATGACTTCTTCCCAAACCTCGACGACAAGATTTGCACCTAAAAGCCCCCAAAGATTGATCTACAGAGAATAGGCCCTAAATCTCTCAACAGGCACCATTCTGGGCAGTTCCCTGCCGCTGGTTTTATGACATCTTCACTTCTCCTTCTTCTCCCACAGGCCTAAACTGAGGAAGCTGTAAAAGCCTGGACAAACACAGCCATTTGCTAAGAGAAAAGGCAACATGGGGCCCATCTGTACTTTACAAGGGCTTTGCTTGTCTACCTTTGTGTGTCACCGTTTACAGAGCAGCCTGCCTCCCTCAGAGCACCTGGCCACTGGCGGAGGCCTTGGCTGGGTTTTCGCTACCTTCCTAGAGAAAACACTTTTTTTTTTTTTTTTTTTTGAAAAGTCAAAAGGAAGGCCTGCAGGGGCTGACGGATGTCCCTCCCCAGGCTGGACTACCAGCCCTTCCTTCATGACCGCCATATTGAATTGAACTGGACAAGCAACTCTCCAAGGGCAGCCCTTGTGGATCGCTAGTTCCTCACAGCCCAGCAAAAGGCCTTCCACACAGCAGGCCCTCAATAAACACCGAGGAAGTGAACCTCTTGTCTGACAGACACCCCAGAGCCAAAGCAAAACAGTAGAGGTGAAAAACAACCCTGAAATCATTATCCAGTGCTGGATCCACTGCCCACATTCTTGATCTTGTGATAAGTAAGGAAAAATATCATGACATGTCTTTGAACCACAAAAGATTTCCATGGAATTCAAGAAGTCCCTTAAGCAGGTCTAATTTTAGGTAGAACTTAGGAGAGAGGATACTGGTGGCAAACAGAGGTGGGGGGCAGTGGAGGAAAACTGAACAAGGCCCCTATTCTGCTCGGCACAGGTGCTGGTAACAGGACACCCCTGCCTCAAGTGAGACGTGGGGTGGAGAATTCAAGGTGTGCTTGGGTGTTTTTTTCACCCCCAGTCACATTATACAACCCCGAACACACTCTCCAACCCAGTACAAAGTTCTCCCTGCATCAGGCCCAATGCAGCTCCTGACATGCTGATTCTTGAGCAACAAGGCTGAGGAAAATATTTGATTTTAGCGTCCAACTATTTTTTTTAAAACTAAGTTAGTTATTAAAAGAAGACAGACATCTACAGGCTGAGCTGCCCTCAAGTTTGGCCAGGGTCTCCTGGTCTTAAAAGCTCTCCAAACATCACTGAATTCTACATGCTGGTTCAATTACTTAACTAAAAAAATTTAAAAATACAAATATCAAATCAGCATGTCGTACACGCGAAACTAATGTCATATATTCATTACAGCTCAAGTTTTAAAAAAGAAAAAGTAATGGCACAAATCTGCTGTTTGAAGCATTAGCCTGTCTTTCCCGGGACTTGGAGAGAAATTCCAAAAAGATTCCAGGATCTCCTTAACGCAGTCAACAGTGTTTAAACATCAGAAGTCAGTCATCTGGCCTTCCACAGTCACTTCCAAGCTACTGTCCCCTAAACAAACTGGCGATGGGCCCTTGCCTCCAGCCACATGAATCCCTAGTCTCCCCTTCCCTTTGGGACCAGCTCACTCCAGACAACCTGATTTATGCGGACGGCGGAAGGGCAGCCAGTAAGCGATTTTGCACACCACCATTCATTAGTGACCACCAGAGTAGGATGGAAGAAAGGAAAAAACCACAGGGTTTTCCCTCATCAAGGAATCAATAAGTTATTTAACAGCTGTTGCAGGATCCCAATGGAAGAAAAGTGAGGGTTTCTTCACTGCACCCGACCCCCTGAAAAGGATAAAACACACACCCTGACAGCCCAGGACTTAGCCAGATGAAAGATCGTTAGAAGAATGCACAAAGAATCCTCTCCAGCTTTTCCATGCCTTGAGGTTCTTTGGTTTGGGAAGATGGATGGTGCTAGGCCTTGAAATTACTCCATTTTTTGTTGTTTTCTTTTTTTTTTTTCCAAAGAGGAAATTGACTCCCTTCCTGTGCTGCTGTACATTTTGGAGAATCAAATGCTACTT